AAATGACATGTTGCTGGCTCTGCGAAGTCTGTCCAAATAAGCGAATAAACTTTTTTATTATATGGCATGCATTTGTTCTGATGAATCGTGCAATTTGATTGACTGCTGACGAGGCAGGATGTAACGTTCCCGTATTGCACACAGTGACGTAACTACTGTGGGTTCGGACCGGTCGAACCCGGGGACCCCCAACCACAATTGGCTAAATGGGGCCCCCAGGCTCAGGCTGTAGAGCAAAAACATTGGCCAGCGAGAACTCTGATATGTTACAATGTCGTTTTCTGACCATTAGAATTCTATAAAATCTCTTCCCTAAGTCCGGGAAACGGCATTTCAGAGACTGTCTGTAAATTCAAAAAAATTCGCGTGAGCGTACCCAGGCCCCCTAGAAAACTCGTGCATATACGGCGCTCGACTCGTGTCTTTGGCACTTCTACTAGGGGGGGGGGGCTTCGCAACTGATTGCTCACGGGCAATACGCAATTTTTGCATACTATTATAATTATCACTTATTTACTGAGACCGAGGGAAACAGTGTGTTTTATGGACCCGAGACCGTCGATCCAAGGTCTCAGTAAATAAGACTAGTGTTTTATTATATATCAATAGTCAAAGAAACAACAAATTAAAGAACAAATGTTGATTGTTAAAACGTTATATTTAAACACTGGCTACACCGCAGTTACTTAAAGCGAAAGTTTTAATTACGTACTAGGCATGTCCAAAGGTCGCCTCTTCACGTGATGGCGCATGTGATTTTTTTGTTATTCGCCGGTCGATAACGTATTGTTTCCCTCTCGCGCTGTTGCAAGGGAGACAGCCTAATTTCGTCACTCTCACGTGATATGCTCTCAACCAATAAAACACTAGAAAAATGCGACTTTGACTAGTATTGATATATAATATTTGATTTTATTTACCACCTTTGGCAGGAGAATTACAGATTTAAAAAGTATTAAAAAGTTACAACAGTATTTAAGATATATAAAACTTTGTACTAAAATAATGTACATTTGACTGGAATGAGAGATTGCTATTATCTATTTATTATATACACAAGGTCTGGATATGAGGTATTCTGCTATCTGATTGGTTCTCTACTAGCAGGATATTAGTTCATATCCTGCTAGTAGAGAAAACCAAAATGGCGGCCAAACTGAATTTACGATGTTTTGCAAACGAGAAAACGGCAAGTTGTCGCTTTTTATAACTTTACAGGATTAATAATACAATGAAAAACTCCCACAAATTGTTTTCAGGTTAGCAAATAAATTTTTAAAATTTAAAATGGTTAAAAATATATATTTTTGATAAATTAATCGGCCGAAAGAGCGAAGATAAAAACATATAAATAATAAAACAAAATAGAAAAATATTGAAGATATCCGAAAAGCAAAGTCTGTGAATTCTGACCTTGTGTATATAATAAAACAGTTATTCCACTCACTCTCGTCGAATATGAGCGATAGCCGATTCGGCGCTGCGCGCCTCATCGGCTATATCAGCTCATATTCGACTCGAGTTCGTAGAATAACTATTAAATATACAAGTAAGGCTATTTTAGTTAACTATATGTTCATTAGAATAGTTCAACCAAGCAGCTATCGATATGAATGATTGTTTATATCTATCTGTAATGTCTATCTGCATGCGACGAGAGCCGAATTTCAAACGGCAAGAAGTGTTTAAAAGTCTTCCAAACCATTCAAAACGAAGAAAAATAGACCTATATTCTATAACAGAGAAAATGAGCAACTGCTGTGGTTACAAAATTCCTCAACACATTTTTGTTAGCGTAAGTCGAATTTACAAGGTCAATTTTACAATGTTTATAAATATTAAAGCAATCAAGAATAGTTGTGTTTTGACTATGTGAAGAGCTGCAAATTTTGTTTTGCAGATGGCCAGGAGGAATCTGCATGACACCATTTAAATAAAAAATACAACAAAAGCAGCCACAGATTCATAATTTTGCCCTGAAAATTTCTGTTTTTGTTACATAAAAAGAGACATAAATATGTAACTAAGATGAACCGAACCAAAATCGTACTTCAATGCTGTTTATTAATTTTATTATATTCATATTTTTTGTCTTTGATTAAATGACGAAATACCTCGTATTTTTCTTGAAATACTATCGATCCAAACTGTGTTAGTATTCTACAAAATGTGCTGTAGAGTAGTTTTACTAACCAAAAGAACATTTTCTACAATTTTTTTTTTCAAATGTTTCGTAATTTGTACTTTGCCCTCGCGTGACCTTTTTCCATCCCCACCCCCATTATTATAAATTAATACAGTATATAGATGCATGTATACAAAAATAAATATTATAAAATAATCAAATACGGGATGCTATTGTGTTTCCTGCCCTTCTGTTCCAGAATTATCGATATCATTCACTTCTTATCATGGCTCGCGAGGGAGGAAGCGGTAACTGAATCAGTGACTCAATTATTCATTATTTGTATTAAATCGTTTTGCATTGTTCAGTAATCGTCGTTTTTTTCTTATTTATTCATCTTTTAGTTTTCCATCATTATACCTTTCCACAATACTCCTGGATGATCACAACTATTCATTATCGTAAATTCAGTTTGGCCGCCATTTTATTTTTCTCTACTAGCAGGATATGAGCTAATATCCTGCTAGTAGATTGCAGAATACCTCATATCCAGACCTTGTGTATATAATAATATTCATTATCCCGCTTCTCATATCCAATCATGATAAGAGAAAACGTTAATTTACGAATTTCAGGTGTCGTGTTTTATAAATATGTCATTCTTTGTTATAGAAATATAAACAGCACTTTTTTTTGAAAAACTATCGCTTTTGTGGGCTATAAAACGCGTATATGCACATATATGGGCATGCATGTATGGTTAGTACAATTTTTTATGAATTATCAATATTGTTATCGTGCCTTCTAGAATTCTGAATATTTACCTAAGCAAGGGCGGTCGATTAGGGTATCGCGACATCCGTTCAGCATATGGGCCTCTTGCCCCCACTTCAACCACGAAAAGATAAAAGTTATATTAAAATACTGGTCGATAATTTGGCTATTGAAATATTTACGTGTTTGTGAATACTTGCCTCTCACCTTACGAAATCATTAACAAATTCAAAATACTTCTTATGTTAAAACAATCCAAGTTCGCGTGATTTTTTTGAAGGGACATTAGGGATTTTAGGAGAGTCGTGCACATTTCAGGTGCCTCTTCGCGCGTTTTTTAATTTACTCTGTGGTTTGGCGAGTTGTTTTGGGGGAGTGGTGCAATGGGGCCCGTCCGTTTTTACTCCACGCGTTATCTGAACATTTTCTACAAAGGAACTACAAAAATATGGGAACAGAATGTGCGCCCCCTCTTTTGCCATGTCATCAAAATGTCGACGCGAAAAAGTAGAAACTGATCCTACTTTTTCGCTGACCAATAATATTTCCGAAACTGTTTTATTCATTTCGCTCAACAAACTTGTCATGAAAACAAAGCTCAAGTTTCGCAATCCTGCTTAAAATATTTCTATATAATTATATTGAGAAGGATGGCGAATGAACGTCTTCGAACGGCAGTATAATTTACTATATACGTCAGCGCAGCCGAATATTAGGCACTTATGTTTTCACTTCTTATTAACAAGACTAGTTTGGTCAGTACCGAAACTGTTTTTGGGTAAGCCCAGTGAAAACTTGCCCATAGTCTATTGTTTGAAGTCCTATATCGTCTTGGATATTTTATATATTTTCAGTGTTCGGCTGCAACTAGATTTCACTTGTAAACATGTCTTTGTTTGCTAAATTACATCCGCTTACGAAACGCGATCGAGAGGATATATTTTTATCTGACTCGAACCCAGTCCCTGAAATGAAGGTTGACAAAGGTGAGGGCAGATGCGGATGACTAATTCTTTAGTTTTAAGTACTATTTAAAGCGCGCGTATAGGAGTGTTTTATCAGATATAAAACGCGAGTCGCAGCCGAGCGTTTTATACCGATAAAACACGACTACAAGTGCTTTAAATGGCTTAAAAAACGACTCATCTTATATGAGTTCAATGGAGACGTAATTTTTTAAATAAACTTTGTCTAAACCGAGAAAATCAGTGCTAAAGTTTATGTAAATTAACATGATTTTTTATCACATATAAAGATATGACACGCTTATGATTTTTCTTTGTGTTTTCCTGAATTATTAATAAGGTTTAATTTAATTTATTCCCTTAAGGTAAAAATGCATTAAAAATATTAAACTTGGCGCCGGTTGTATAAAAACGTAGTTAGCGCTAACTGAAGTTAAAAAGTAGTTAAATAGTAGCTAACTTTAATCACACAGTTAAATCAGTTGCATAAAAGTGTAGTTATCCTTAACTGCAGTAGCCTGCGAACAGAGTAGTATAGGAACTGCCGAAGCGAGACCACTAGTTTCGGAGCGAGACCACTAATTTTTACCTTCGGAAAAAATTAATAATTTATTTTTATTATATTAAAATTAATCATTTATTTTTATTATATTAAAATTAAAATCATTTATTTTTATTATATTAAAATTAATGGTCCCGCTCCTCAATGAGTGTTCCCGACTTCAGCAGTTCCACGGTCCACTTATTTTTGAATGTGAAACTGCTATTCTGAGGTCTGTCCGAAATGTTTTTCATTTAACTTATCTCAGAGCTTCGGGATCACCTTATCAGTCCAGCTGAGACTTTAGTACGATTATATTAGGTGTGATTCTAGACTTTTCCAATATCGTCCAATTTTCCTATTCTAGAGCCTCTTCGACAACTTTTAAAATACCCTTGAGGTAACACACACCCTCTCCACAGAACCGTCAGATATTAATTCTGAGCACTGATTAATACTTCCTACAACCTCCACAATACCCATTTTAGTTGTCACACTCAGATTCCAACTATTCACCGTTCTCTTCTATCAAAATATCAGGGATTCCCAAACCCTCAAACCTCTAGATTCCCTAATATCGTCCAATTTTCCTATTCTAGAGCCTTTTCGACAACTTTTATTTTCTCCTTGGGGGTACATAAGGCAGGGGGGCCTACCTACTTATTTACCCTTTGGGATTATTACTTTCTACTCTGTGGGAACTTCTCAGTCACTATTTTTTATATTCTTGTTACCATAAGCATAACTGGTAACTCCATCCTCCAAAAGATACCTTTTATCATCAAAGCAACTCAGAGTAACCTTCCTCATTTCATAAGTTCCAATTGTATGCTTTGTGCTCCTGATTGTATTCATGTTGTGTCTCATCCTACCCTTCGTGTTGATTACATTCTTGAAGTTCTCATGGGTGAGCTTGTTTCTGATGACATACTTCTTAACCCCTTTAGCTGTCATTCCACCCCCATCGTTTTCCTTGACAGAGGAGTACATCTTTGACCTCAACCCAACAAACTCATTTATGGGTACTCCTCCAGCTTCATCCTTAAACTTACCTATAACCTTCTTGTTGTGGGTTGAGTAGTAAGGGCTATCTTTTGGGTAATCTGAATTATCCCAGCAGTCTTGCTCTTCACCGATCCTCCTCAAGTCCTCATAGACATCATCCGTCTTCAGTTCATACATCAGACTGTCAGTATCGGTGAACAGTAACCTCGAACAATTACCGTACTCCTTCTTAATGGTGTTGTAGTGGAAATCGTACATCAGAGTCTTGGATAAGTCTAAGATGCTCATTCCCACATAACGCGGCTTATTCAGCGTTAGCACTTCTTTCATCCTCTTTACCACTATGAGATTCTCATTCATGATTCGATGTGACTGGAAGCAAGGTGATGCTGCCAGTTTCAGGAGGTCGTCTTTAGAGGACACTAATTTCACATCAACCCTTTTCCTAAGATTCTCCATAGTCTTTCCGTAGATCGAGTTGTTCATCAACTTGAAGAAGTTCTTTTCGAACGTGTTACGAGCTACTGACCTTTTCTTCGTATTGAAGTCTATATAGTCCTTAAGCCAGGGAGACTGCTTGAATGTAACCGCTCTATGAACCTTCGTGAGTTTCATCCCAAGGTCTGTGTACAGTTTCAGATTGCGTACATGTAAGACGTACTTCTTCCTGGGACCTAATGAAGTCACAAGTTTTCTTACTCCTCCAATTGTCAGTTGGAATTTCTCAGCAATACTCTTCGCATAGTCTGACAACATAGAAGCACTGATTTCTTTACTCTCCGGTGCTAGAGGATAACCGTTGTGTAGGTCGTGAAGTTCTTGTGGATATTCCAGGTCAACCTCCAAAACCATTCCCCTTCCGTTGTCTCCCAAGTAATCCTCTAGATTCATACCGTCAACTTCCTCAATCCACTCGAACTCTCCATTAGGTAGTGGTTGTGACATCTCCCAGCCATATAAATTATTAGCGTCGAGGTACATTAGGTGTACTTGTTCTCAGACGACTCATCGTACGTCTCCATGTACTTATTATTAGCTGCGGAGTGTCAATGAGCAATATAACTTGTACCACCTCTCATACCCTTCTCGAAGAACTGGAACATATCCATATCACTTACAAGTTCTATTTCTTCACCTGACTTTTTCAGGAAGCGTCCCAACTCAGACTAGGTGCTGACACGTAATGTGCGGGGTCAAGTTTGTAACTTTCCAGACATGTTCTCCTGAAGTTCTCAAACACATCAGCCAGCAGAAGAACGTCAGTCTCTAAGTAGAGATCATGGTAATCTCTCATGGTTTTCATCTTGAAGTGATCCCATACTTTCTGAGCTCTCTGGTAATCTTCCTCCTTCACCTCTGACTCATACAGTGACGAGTAGAAATTATCCTTGCTCGGAAGACCTTCTGTATTGAGTTTGCTAATATTATCTAGGAACTCATATGGGAACACTCCTTTTTGTGTCACTAGATTGAAGTCCTCACCCTTCCACCTCTTACCTACTATCCTGAAGTCCTCAGGTGAAAAGTTACTTACCAGTGCTTCCAGTGAAGAAGCCATGAACTGTATAGAGTCTATGAAGACCAGATTCTTACCCAGTGAGAATGAGATGTATTTTTCCATATTATTTGGGATCACATTAACATCCATCTTGAACTTGCCAATTTCCTGCATAATCAGATGACCATCATAACCTCTCAGGTTGTGGAAGACCACAGGTACTTTCCATGTAATTCTATACTTAAGATTGCATATATTGTGAGCAGCTCCGCGGTACTTACCTGTTACATGGTCATGGTCTCTCACACGGTCCTCACATAGGTCGTTACCACATATATGGCAGTTTCTTGTAACCAGGAATTCTGCTTCCTCTTTGGGCGTAATTACCATTTTCTTCCTGAATATTTTGTCAATCATTTCCCTACATCTGAAGGACTCTTTTACTACCGTCTTTAGGAAGACCAATGCAGCGTCACTTCCAACATAACTCTTATACTCACCGGAGTACTTATCATCATAGTGGCAGACAGTCTTCAAACCAAAACTACAAGCCTTGTGTGTCTGGTAAAGGTCCGTACTACTTTCATCCTCAGGGTTCTCTGACTTCTCTTTTCTCTCCTCAGGCACCAGTATGGACTCAAAATCAGCATATATCACAAACGGCACAGGCATTGAGTTCCTATGATTTTTGAACTTTATTTTTGTCCCTTCCTTGGGAAGCTTTACAGCCTGAGTTCCATTTACCTCCAGACATGTTTCCTTATGCTTCTCCAGTACCTCCTCGCTAACGCAACTATGAAGACAGTGTAAGCAGAAGTGTTGCTTGTGTCCATGTTTACTCACACTACACACCATTCTGTTTACATCCTTTATAAGCACGTAATGTCTACCACGTTCACCATCACCCAGGAGTAGAAGCTCCAAATGCTCATCATATTTAGCCTTTGAAATCCTTATGGGGTAGAACTGCTTTTTACCCTTATAACCGAACACTGATATGTTGATACTATTTTTCCTCTCAATCTTATCAATATCGCTTATCTTCACAGGGAAGTCAATACCTTCATAATCCAGGTTCATTTTGAATTCCCTGTCCTTTTGGGTAATAGTGGTTGCCCTCCTAGCCCTAGGATTTAGATGTCTCACATGACGCCACATAAAGCACATGTCGTCATCATTCTTCATATTGATGAGTCCACACATTGAATTACTAATGTCCTTAGGAAGTTCCATGTATGAACTCCCAGCTAGTGGTTTGTACATTGCAATGTTCACATAATGACTGTCAATATTGAGTATAATCCAGTTTGAACCTAGGTTTTGGAAGGTTTCAATTCTAGACAATATTGTCAGTTGGTTTTGAGCAGCAGTACTTTCAATGTCCTCGAAGTTAGTCGCAGTACCAGTTTTAGATTTGAAGTAGACTGAGTCCTTCTTGGTTTTCCCGTCATCGATTTCCTTTGACATTCTCACCTTCAGAGTCTCTGTGTACTTCAACCCGCCCATTCTTTTCAACTCGTTCACAAGTATTCCTCTCACTACCTGTCTACTTGCAGTCATCTGGTCCAGAGGGTCCATATAATGAGGAGTTATCGAGTAAGTCACGGCGGCTCCATTTGCGGCTGTTTCAATTTTCCTGTGGAATGGCTTTTCAAGGTCTGTTCCAAATGGATCGATTTCTTGTTCCTCTGGTGTAACGACTATAGGCTGCTCCTTGACTTCCCTCGACATCCTTACAGGCTTACGGACCTTAGGAGGAGACACTGGTTTCATAGTCCTAGGTTTCGGTACAGGTCTTTCCTTAAGAAGCTTAGTTCTATGTTTCGGTACAGGTCTTTCCCTAGGAAGTACCGTTCTAGGCTTAGGTATCGGTCTCCATGGAGCTACACCCTTAGGTACCTCAGGAGCTTTCCTCACAGGTCTCTTATTAAGATCCACGCGAACTGTGAACTTACCTGGACCTGTTGGAGTTATGACACTATCTGCTGGTACTGAGAGTTTTACCTTCCTCTGATTCAGGAATCTTTCTGCTACAGTTTGCTTCCTAACCTTAACATCAGTCTTTACCTTTGGTGGTCTACCTCTCTTCTTTGGCACTTTCACTTCAGCCTCTGTCTTTGCCTTTGGTGGTCTGCCCCTCTTCTTTGGCACCTTCACTTCGGCATCAACCTTTGCCTTTGGTGGTCTACCTCTGGGACGCTTTACCTTAGGATTCCTTTCGTTTTCGATTCTCTTAATTTCCTCATTAACAAGAACATCGTCTGTACGCCATCTACCTCCCATTGTTGGTGGTAACCCCTGAACTCCCTTAAACAGTAAACTCTGGTATGCCTCCTCTACAAGTAGCGCCTTGGCCTCTTGTCTGTCAGAGTACTTCCATGTTGGCATAATTCCTCTTCTACCCTTATAGTTTTTAGGAATACGTCTTGGTTTCTTTGTTTCCGTATCACGGTCAACTTCATCTACGAATTGTCTTTTTCCTTGGAATGGACTTTCACCCTTGTCATCAGGGGTGATTCTATAGTTTCTATCCTCCAGGATGCCTTCTACTCTTGTATCCATATCCTCATCACTGTCTATGATACTGTTGAGAGCCAAAAGTTGTTCTACACTGAATTCGTTCATGTTAAAGTTACCCGCCATATTTTTCAACTATTCCTATATACTATATGTGTAAAAAAAAATTGGGCTATTTAATTAATAATTTATTACCAATTAATTACCCCAATTATTTTTCCATTAAATTAATCATTTATTTTTATTATATTAAAATTAATCATTTATTTTTATTATATTAAAAGTAATCATTTATTTTTATTATATTAAAATTAATCATTTATTTTTATTATATTAAAATTAATCATTTATTTTTATTGTATTAAAATTAATCATTTATTATATTAAAATTAATTATATTTATTTTTATTATATTAAAATTAATCATTTATTTTTATTATATTTAAATTCTTCATTTTCCATTTATTATAATATTCACATTTCTCAGGTTTCCATCCAAGCTCAACAAAAACTTTCCCGTACAACCTACCCTCAAGGATGTCCACAATCCTTTGAGTCTTAATATCCTCAGGAGGGTTCCTCAAAGTTATACCATTCATACTAGCTATCCTCAGTAGGTAAAACTTGTATCTGACTATGTTGCGCCCCCTTTGCGGTCTAAGTCTTTGTATACATCTTACGATGCTTCTAAACTGCTCCCTTATGGTGTCCCTATCCCTAGAAGCAACATGTTCGAATAGGTGTCTCTCGAACCAACGGACTCTATTATGACAAGACTTCTTTTTCAGATAGTCGTCCTTGTTGTAGTTGTAACTAACGTAGTATGAGAAGTTATTCATATCACTGGCACCACACTGTGTGCATGTATCTGCTCCATCTATCATTACAATAGACTTACTTCCACATTCGCTACATATTGGATCATATGTGTGTTTTCTCTTTATTCTACTCTCTGCGTGCTTTCTCACAGCAGCCTCTAACTCTTCCACTGTATTTACCCTTTTACCTACATGTGCTATCTCCTCAGGTGTTGCCATCTGTAACCATTCCATTTCCCTATACTTATAGGTGTGAAAATTTTTATGGCATTTTCTATAGCATTAAATAAGCTGCCCCTCCAACCACCCCACCTGCAACTAAACCAAATAGTGCCATATATTCTTCCATTTCAGAGCTAGGTTTGTAGTGATTACTTAATTGTGGCTTCCTTGGCATAGCCTTACGTGTTAACTCATTGATTCTTCTGACTAGTTCTAGTGACTGGTTCGTTGACTTGATATCCCTATTTGCTCAGCTAGTTCTGACTTTAGCTGAGCAATCCTATTTCTCCTATCAGTGACCTCTTCGAGGTACTTTTCTCTTTCAGCTGTAAGATTCTCCATTGCAAGGTTATGTCTTTTAGCCTCCTCAGCGTATCCGTTCCTATCAAACATTTTAAATAGGTATCCTGCTCCCGCAAATGCAAATGCATTAAAGAGTCCTCCTGCTACTGCCCCCGCCATTGTATAGTTTTACCTAGGTTTTGAATGGATCATCTGGTAGATACTTCTTTTCTTTCAGGTAAGAGACCAGTAGAGATGAAAGACTAACTGATACGGCTAACTTTACCATTCCTTTTACATTCTCTGGGGTGCCTAAGGGTTCTTTCAATAGTTTCTTTGATGCCATTGATATACCAACTGCTCCTGCTGTAAGTAACACTGCGTCGTACACTTCCCTAGTCATCTTTGATTCTTTACTCATCTTGCTATAATATATGGTATGTTTAGTGTATCATTCAAGTGAATCTAACTTGGACTCATCAGCTCTCTTAGTTACTTCTACAGTTTTAGGGATGTACTCAGGTTCTGGTTCCCTAGTTTCCCTCTGATGGGTCTTATACGCTAGTACAAGAGATATCAATGCAATGGCCACTCCTATGTAGGTAATCATACTGTCATTACTATGTGACTCATTAGGTTCAGCCTGTTTCTTTTTTCTCTCCTTTGCTATTTTACTGATTGCAGCAAGTTGTTTCCCTGCCTCTACTCTTCTAGGGTCCTTCTTCTTTTCGCTTGTTACTGGTACTTGAATTTGCTCAAGTTTGTCTGCCATTTTACTTGTAAGATACCTTAGGTTTAACTGGGTTTCATCTTATGAGATATCTTGAATTCTACTTGTGAGATAACTTGAATTTACTTGCAAGATAACTCAAATCTACTGGTAAGATAACTTAAATCTACTGGTGAGATAACTGGTGAGATAACTTGAATTTACTTGCAAGATGTCTCAAATCTACTTGGCAGTGTGATGGAACTGCTTAAAAAATACCCGACAGTATTTGCCGAGCATTTTCTAAGTTTCATTCCTTCGCTTCCCGTTTCCACTCTAGTACTTACCTACTGTGTAACCAATTTGTCGAATTACAACTTCCTTACACTGACTGGCCTTCAGAGTCTTACACTTTATCTTAAGATTCTTTATTTCCTTTAGGAGTTTCTTTGTTTTGTCGACCCTAAAGTACTCCTCTATATCCAGCACTATCTCTGTGTAATCATTAGATATTAATGTCTGGTAGCCATTTTTGTTTAGTGCCTCTAACCATGCTACCTGATTATCCTTAACTTCTCCTGTACCCTTTGGAGTCTTGAGCTCTATTGCGAATCCATGGAAACCATTACTTGGATTCATTATCATAAGGTCTGGTTGTCCACCCATATATCCCTTCCTCCAAGCGTCACATCTTTTGTATGAGGTATCCTGGTACACTCCTAATCCTGGTAAGATTAGAGCTTTTGGGTGGTACTTTTTAAGATATTCTACAACAGCATAATGAAGGTCCGTTTCATTAATTAGCTTCATCTGTTTACAATAAAGCGGCTCAGATTCTGGTAATTTGTATGAGCCTATTTTACGGATAGATGGTAGTACCTCACCGAACACCCAGCCCTGAAACGCTTCAGCTATCGGTAGTCTGGAATTACAAACCAGTTGGTACAAACCCGGTTCGTATAGTAAAACCGTATCGGGATGACTTTTTTCCATGGTGAACGAATCGGTAACCCTTTGGAACTACCCCACCGTTGTTCTATTTGTTTTCCATACATGGTCTCTAACAGCTTTCTGCGGGTTTATGTACCCTAGGGATTCCGCCACATCCTTTGCATAGAACAGTACCTCCTCACCCCACCTCACTGTTCTCACACTAACGTTTAACTCCGGATTCCTAAATAATTTCTCCATCTCCTCTATACTATACTATATGTGTAAAAAATTTTTAGGCTATTTTATTCATCAATTTATTTTGATTTATTCTAGGAGCAGTATTCCCTCAGCCCACCAAGCTGCTTCCTACCGTTGTATACTTCCTATTACCAAAAATTATTTTGCCTACTGCATTTCATTTAGATTCTTGTATATATTTACAACTGTTTTTATCGTATCATTTTTAAAAGCTTCAAAGTCATACTTTAGTGAATCCAAAGTTGCCTGAATCTTATCCAGCTGTTCCCTGTTTTTATCAGTTTTCTCAATCAATTCATTAATTATGTCTTCAAATTCTGTTCCTTCCCGGGGATTTCCCCAGTCGTAGGGCCCTCCAAGTCGTAGCATTCTGTATGTAATAGAAGATGTTTAGTTTCCTCGGACACTTCCTCAGGTTCCTCCTTCTTATTCCACTTATGGGCAACTACATGTTTAGCTGTTGTACAGCCACCGGATATGAGCCTGGGGGATATCGTCCTGGTTAGATATGCTACGTCGTCCTTCAGAAGCTTGTCACTAAGTAGTTCCTCTGACAGTTTGTCTGAAGATTCCACTGCACCGAAACTTCCTAGTACCGCAGCAAACTTTGAGATAATAAGTGTTGATAGAAAGTCGCTTGCACATGACATCCTCTGACTTTCATACTCATGGTACAGTCTATCTACAACATCCTTGTTTGACTTTCTTATAAAACTTGCGGGCTTCTCTATTATACCGTCCCTCAATAGCTCTATAAGTTTGTCCCTTTTGTGTTCAGTTTGCGACTTATCTGCGGTAGACTTGGTTTTCCTTGCGGTAGACTTAGCTTTTTTCTGCGACACCTTTGCGGCCTCCTCTACTTCTCTTACAGCCTCAAATATTTCTACCTCGGATTCAGTTCCCATCGTCTATATTTTACGCGGTGTTTAGTTTAACAGTGTATGTGTAAGGGTGAATAAGTAGTACGTCCAGTGCGGTGAACTTTTCATCTCTTAATATCTTCGTAATCTCTGTAATTGTCTCCTGAGGAACACCACTTAGGTAATCATCTGTTATAACCTTCATATCCCTGCGACTAGGGTTGTAGAATGTAACTAGCCTGGAAATGTTCTCTCTAAAAGGCTTCGCTACTGATGACAATTGTTGGGTAAGTACAATGACAGATAGGTTGTAATGTCTTGAGGAGAAAGCTAAGCGCACCAGTTCTGAGACTCTTTTATTTACATCTTGACTTGCAGCACAATCGTCCACTATAATGAGAGTCTGACTACCGCGGAATATGGTGGACACTGCCTTGAGAACAAGATCGATCATTTCTTGTGAACATGGAATTTGTATGACTCCGTGATCACTAAGATGTGTCCAGCTAATGTAAGTCATATTCCACTCTATAGTCGGACATACGATGACAATGTAATCGAAAACTCTATTGTACTCTGTTTCTAACATATTAAGTAGGAACTGAGTCTTTCCACTTCCAGTCATTCCTACTATAAGCATGTTGAAGGGGGGCTTAAGTTGTTGCATCTCTATGCTTTTCCATTAGTATTGAATACTTAATAGATCTCTATTGGCAAAGTTAAGGAGAGCATCTGATACAACAAAAATGTTGCACTGGACGTCAGCTGCTGTGGCTCTCTTTTTGATTTCCAGGAGTACTCCCGACTGTGTGTTAACTATCTTCTTACCTCCACCAGTGGTATCATCTTGTGTTGACCTAAGATCGATTACTAGAGCAAAACCATTGCCGAAGAACTTACTGATGGACATAAATTCGTCTGCCATTGATTTCTCGCACATGGGGCAGAAGAATCTTTTTGCCTCTTCAAAGAACCTATTTTTAGGAAGTCCTTGGGAGAAGACTGCATTAGGCACACCTTCAATGGTCAGGTTCACTTTATCAATGTTTGGGTAAATATATTCTTCAGAATCAGTTCTCACTCTATTGGTAAATAGAAGGACAATTGCTGACATGCTCTTTCTGGGGATATTAATGTTCTCATTGACAATGGTAAGATCTTTGTCCCAATTACTTGTGCGCATAAGTGTGACGTGTTTGTAGGACAGTGAGCGACCCGTTGAATACATCCTTGATACTTCACTCGCAAGGGCGTCATTCTCAATGGTCTCGTATTCTAACTCAAGATTATCAAGTTTATAATTACCCTTAGCTTCACCTCCTTGGGCAGTCATAATTTCATCTGCTTGGGGAAGAGTAAGGATGTACATAGGATTGTTATTCATGGAGAACGGTACATAGAGTCCATGGTCCACAAGTATCTTATCAATTGGTTTTCTCAGCTTAGAACCGTACACACTGTGGAGGAGTGCATCTGCTACTTTACCAACATCACCTACCTTTACACCTGAGTCATCACCTGATATCAGCTTCCTAAGATTCTCGCTTGCAAGCCCTGTTCAGTCATCTTCTTTCTGTCACCTAGTGTTAGCCATAGATCTTTGTATATTTCGTACAAACTCTCTCCTGAACAGCCATAAGCTGTTTCACCTGCTACTTTAATCTGAAGACGTTTAGCTATTAACTTAGACAGGTTGTTATTAAAGCGGCTTTTTGTATTGGAATTTTTGAAGTCAAATAATAGTGCAAACGATCCTGGGACTAAACAAGAGTCAGGCTTTAGTTTGGGGATGTTAATGTACAGCTCTTCACCTGGGCTAATGGTTGTTGGATTAAAAGTTACAACACTTCTAGTTCAGGGACCTTTTACGGATGCAATACGACTCCTCCTGAAGCCAGGTTGGAGTTCTCTTTCTGTGGTATTCATACTTGTATACAATATGTAATGTTTAGTTGTATTTGTATAGTAAAACTGCTGCTGCACATACAATGATTATCCATATATTATCCGCTGCTAACTCTACTCCATCGGCTATCTTCTGAAATACAGGTTCTGAAATATAGTTCTATTTGGTGGTTTACCAACTCACTGATCCGCTTATCGAGCTTTTCTGTTGTGTCACCTACTTTCCACAATATGTTTCTAGTTGATGCTACCAGTCCTATGATTACAGCTGATGAGGAAATTAGAACAGCTGATAAGATGCCTGCATTCTCCCTTGCCCATAACCTGAGCCTCTGCAGTCTCCTACGATCATCCCGTTTAATGAGATCCCTCTTTTTCACCTTATCTCTTAAGTTGAGAAGTTTATTTAAGTTTGACTCTCTTTGGTAATCATTTGATAGCATTCTGACGTATCTCAGTTCTTCCAAGTTTTCTTTGAAACTGTCTTTGTTCAAATTGGATAGTATTATTTCATTTAACAGTCTGTCTCCCCTATCCATTAGATCATCGTATGACAGATTAGATAGGTCAGGGAATTTCTCAGCTAATTGCTCTCTCGTAAAGTCCTCGCTTTCGTATGTTTCCAACATTTTGAGTACACTGGAATCTTGGTCTTACCACGTTTCGTTATTTGGGTGCCACTCTTGTTAATACCTTGTTCACTTCTAAATACCAACACCTCTGTGCCATCATTGAGTGTTCTGACAGATGATCGATTGATGAGTTCCCTGACATGTCTATTCCTAGGATCCAGTATCAGTCCCTCCTTACCCTTGATAACTCTTGTGACAGCATGAACACGTTCTACTTGGTTTTCAAAGTCTCTTTTCTTACTTGCTGTGAGTTGGTCTTCTGAGAACTTTTTCAGTTTACTCAGACGGATCTTTATTTCGTCCCAGTCAGCGTCAAATGATTCATCAAATGCATCTAGCACGTCTGGAAGTACATTGTTTGGATCTTCTACGAAGTCGACTCCTTGAACGGTTGTGCTTCCTGATGGACCGGAGATGTTCACTGTACCATCATTTCCTTCGGTGAAAGTTGTTTCTTCTATTGCACGTCTCTCCATGAGATTCTTTACATAGTCTAGGTCACTTTTAAGATCAGTTATTACTAAAGGGTCATCACCATACATAGCCTCTCCCTTCACCTTTGTGTCCAACCTACTAAAAGCTGTTGTTAGGTCATCATAATTGAGGTCGTCATATTGAGGATACGTCTTTTCTGTCTCCTCCAACTCAATGTCATCGTAGTCCTTGAAGTCCTCCATAATACTTTAACCTATGTTAGGGACTTGATGTCTCCAGCTGGTATCCAACTGTTAAATTTGTCATCATAACCTAACCACTTAATGAGGGCCATCTTTTTACCCTTCAATGTTCTTCTCCTCAATACTTTCTCTATTCTGAAATCAGGTTCTCTTCCTTCAGCGCTATACAGTTCTTGTTCATAGAATCTGCCAATTATTGGTTCATCAGCACTGTCTTTTATTGTATACGTGTTTGGATGGCCGTGATACACTTCCGTCACAGTAAATAACTCCTCTGTGAAATTTGCTTCGTACCCTTTTGTGAACACTGATTTGTACTTCGAGATCCTGACACTTTCTCCGACAGCAAACTTTGGTTCCGACGGCTTGCCTAATTTGTGACTAAAAAGTGTTTTCCATACTTCAATCCAGTTGGACTCGTTGACACTGTCCGGTGTTGTTTTAATTGATCTGTTCACTGAACTGTTGTAATTATCAGTTAAGTCTTGAAGGACGTCTACCATTTATATGTACTGGCACTGTAAAAGTACTTCCACATTAGCGCTTCCAGTGTTCTGTTAAATCTTTCCACAACTGCAGCCTTTTTATCTGAGTAAGTAGAGAAATATTCAATGTTATGCTTATTAAGCAATGACTTTACTTCCTTGTTGTAGAACTCTGTGAATAGATCAAACTGGGCGAATTTTTGGTATTTACCAAAACGATTATTAAATTGCTCTAAAATGTTACTGACGGCTTCCTTCATTGCCCCCGCGTTTTTCCTATACACTGGTACCGTGAACGCGTACCTACTTAGTATTTCAATGAATGTGAGAATCCAGCGGTATCCCTTGTTCTTGTCATCATATTTTGTCATGTCAACTAAATCCATTTGTAACTGTTCACCTAAAGTTTGGACGTACGTCTGTCTGAACTTATGTTTCCTAAATACCTGTCTGTACCTAGTGTATGTGTCTTGCTCATTTATCCATTTCTTGACCTGACTTCTGGTTACTTCAAGTCTGTCTGATATTGCTTTAAGATATAGTGTCTCTGGTGTTTGGAATCCAGTCTTAGGATTGTAGTAAATATCTCGTAGTCCCTGTTCTTTCATAATATCGTCGTTCATCTTATATTAACCAATGTAAGCTCACTACTCAAGGTACATCTCGATAAGCACTTCACCTATATCAATAGGTTTACCTTCTTGATCTGTCATGTGGAAGACAAGCTCTGAGCATCAACCCTTAACAATCGAAGTCCTGCTTTCAACATCAATGTAACTAACTACCGAGCCCAATAATGGTCTGTCTGTTGGAACTGTGACACTTGTTATAACATCGCTGGGTCTCCCCCAAGGGTTAACGTTGTAACTATTACTTACTAGATTGCAGTGTATATTTACGTATCGTAGACCGTTATTAAAGTCAACTTTGCTATCACCTACCAAACTCCTCCCTTTCAGTAGAATCATAGGATTAAAAAATCTATTAAAACCTAACATGGTCAGTAATCGTGTTTCTATTGTGATATCTTGTTTTACTGCCTCTACTTGACATCCTGCTGTTTCAGCAAAGTAGGTTAGCTTAACACCGTGTCTTTCAAGTAACTTCTTCATACTGTCAAATGTGTAGTAACCTTTACTAACAATTACATCAGATTCTCCATCATCTGTTTTCACTTTGAGAATAGTTGTTGGTTCCCTTATGTTGAAGTACTCCCAGAATACTGATACTCTCTTCACAAAGACTGATTTATAGTTGCTTGTTAGAACTGAGTTCTGTAGTGATACAACTGTGTGCGAGCTCTGCAGTAAAATTGTGAACTTCATCTTAATAACATACGTTAGGTTATTAAGAATGAGACTAGGTGGAGGACAAGTTGGTAAGTCGCCGTACCGGTCGTACCAAGACTATGAAAAAAAGTATGGAAACGAAGACGGTGAAGATCATGTTGATCCTGTTGCTGGTAAAAATGCAGAGAATGCCGAGAGGGCTAGATTTATTAAAAAGTACCCTCACGCTGACATGAATAGGTTTAAGTTTGAAGCAAAGGCTACTAGTAGTGGTGATATAGGAGTTATCACTTGGTTTGTTGATTTAGATGGTATATCTTCATATGATATTAGATATGACGGTTTTAAGAAGGATAAGGAGTTCACATCTTATCTCACAGGTACTAAGAAAATTATTACTCCAGTACAATTTATACCTATGACTGACATGGATCAGCCTCCACTAGAAGTAATAACTAAAGGTGAAGGTGTTAGGTGGCCTGCAATGTGGTCATCCGGAAGGGGAAGTGGATATGGAATTAATCCTGATGATACAATTGATGGTCATAGTTATTTTCCTAGAATAAGATGGCCTAAGGATGTTAACAATTTTAAGGTGTATGTTGATGCTACAAACTTTTTTACTACTACTGGTGGTGCAGGTGGATCCCTTCTTCCAAGTGTGGCAAGCTTTATTACCATTAAGAATGTTGATGTAAAATTCGACTATAAAAAGCCATACTTTGCTGCGCTATGTGGAGCTTACATTGCAACGCATCTTAGTGGGATTACCACCGATCATATGACTTTTACCGATAAAACATATCCTGTTATCACTAGTATCATGAATTTTCATGTTTATTACACTATCAGGAAATTTGTGTATAACCCAGAAAGGATAAAACTTTATTTGAGTAAGTTGGGTCCTGTGAAGAGTCACATTCCTGTTGTCGGTAAGTGGGAGAGCAAAACTGATACTTATAGGGTTACTTACGATAATGGACTTGAGTTTGAAGAAGCAAGTTGGCTTAGAAAAAGAGGTAGTGATAGGAATCCGGTTAGAAATGTGGTTGCATCCCCTATAAATTCAGTTAATGGATTTCTAATTAAGATAAAAATTAGTTACGAGGAAAGGGTTTCGGTAAGTCTGGTTTGGTAAGTAAGTCTGACTATAGAAGGTTTATTGCTGTTAATAATTTTGTTGTTCCCAAAAAAATTACCGAAACTGGGCTACTTCTGTTAAACGAGTCAGTGCAGGCGTTCTCATATTCCGTACTAGGGGCACTAGCATCGACAAGAAATCCAATTGTCGGTGAGTTGGGAAAATCATTTTCTACCCAGATAAAGTTCGGTAATATAGTTCATGATTGTGTTGTACAAGCAGATCCCGTTGTAACTCTGTCTGATATGAGAAAGGCTATTGAAGACACCAATGTTATACTTAATACTGCCATTACACCTGGAATAGTTTTAGTTCCATCCAGTTTGATAATTCTGAAGGAACCTATTATTGGATATAACAATGTACTTGTAAATGCTACCTTTGATATGAAACGTGGTGTTAACACAAAGCTTAATTATGTTGGTGTTAAAAAAGCTGATCCTCCAAAGAAGCAACATCAGGATACAACACCTGTTAATCACCTTGATACTCTTAGTGGATACGTAAAACAACAGATTAAACCTAGAACTGCTACACCAAGAGCAAACAACTCCTTTCGTAAAACTATGGTTAACAGTAATAAGTCTTCGGAAGTTAGCGCTATTGCTGGGGTTGGAATTGGTGCTACACTTGTATTTATTATAATGAAAATGTTTTTGTAAACATTGTGTATGTTATAAAAATGGCTCTCTATAGGGGATACAACAAAGGAGTAAATAAAGTTGACCCATCAAGTGGTAGTGTGTTTGATAAGGATGGATTTACCATGAAGGGTGACATTGAGATGGATGGCAATGAGGTGAAGGGTTTAGGTGCACCTACAGATAATACGTCTGCGGTCACAAAAAAGTGGGTGGATGATAAGATCATTAAACAGGCTGCTGTTACAATTCAACCAGCAGGGTTTACAATGACTGGGGATATTGACATGGGAGGTAATAAGATAACTAATCTTGATAATCCTACTAATCCAGGTGATGCTGCTAGTAAGAGTTGGGTTGAAGGTAGTCGTAGACATATACATGCAAGTTTACCCGGTCTTATCCTAACAAATGATCTCAATATGTCAACCAATGAAATAAAGGCTTTGGGTGATCCTACAACTGGAAAGTCTGCTGTTAATAAGGACTGGGTAACTAGCATGATAAATAAACCTGTAACTGGGGACCTTGATATGAAGGATCATGAAATTAAGAATCTTAAGGATCCTACTGAGGATCAGTCCTCTGTTACAAAAAGGTGGTTCAGCTCAAACAGGGGAACATTTCTAAGGCTAAGCGACTCTTTCCTATCACAGAGTGTAACTGGACCTATCGACTTCTCTAAAGCCCCTAGGAGTTTCGCGGATGGGTTAGATCCAAAAAGTCTCGTAAGACTTAGCCAACTAACTAGTTCGTATCTTAAACTAAGTGGACTAAATGAAATGACCGGCAATCTTAAGATGGGTGGAAATGAAATTGAAAATATTGGTGACCCTAGTTCCAGTACATCGGCTGTTAGCAAGAGGTGGGTTACATCAGGATTCACTTTAAATGGTGATCTAACCGTTGCAAATGGTAATTCAATCTATACGATCAACAAACTTGGTGCAAAAATAGCTGTTCCCAATATTCAAACTGTGATTAACCAAATTTCACGCTTTGCCTTGAAATTGGACGGTTTAAATGAAATGACTGGTGTTCTCAAGATGGGTGGAAATGGAATTGAAAATATTGGAGCTCCTAGTGCTGATACATCTGCTGTTAACAAAAAGTGGGTAGAAGATAAGATTAGCGGTGGTAGAAGAAGGCGTGAGACTTACAGCGGACTTACACTATCTGATGACCTTGATATGGGAAACAATGAAATAATAAAGTTAGGTTCTCCCACAACTGATAATTCTGCTGTTTCCAAAAAATGGGTCACCGATCACGTTAGTGGGAGTTCAATTAGTAGTAGCGGCTTCACTATGACAGGTAATATTAACATGGGGGGTTATAGTATTACAGGTCTCAAAGGTGGATCAGTTGGGGATACCGCTGCACTTTCCGCTAATACTATATACTCCTGGTGTAAACAATTTCTGAAACGTAATAGTGGTACTCTAGATAGTGATGTTGATGTTAACGATTATGAGTTAACTAGGGTAGGTAATCCAACAACTGACGGTTCTGCTGTAAATAAGAAATGGGCGACAGATGAGTTCATGAGTAGTAGAGGTGGACTGGTAAAGGGTGATTTGGATATGGCAGATTAAAGTGGTATTTTTGATCTAAGGGATCCGGTAAATGATAAGGATGCAGTTAACAAGCAATGGGTAGAAAAGAATTTCCTAAAACCTTCCTCAGGTCTAACCCAAGCAACGGCTGATACTAGATATGTAAGGAAAAATCACCATATCTATTCAGAATGGATCTGGGGATATCGTGGCGTATCAGTTGCAGCAACAAGGTACTATGCTTACTGTCAAGATCAGATTCCACCTTCATGGAGAACAGATACTATTAATAATATGACAGACCTCAACCTTGAGTCAATTACTATTAAAACAGATTTCCCACTTCTTTCAACTGTTACTAACATACCCCTAGGACTCATCCTGTGGGCTACTGTATGGGAAAAGCAGTCTAATGGAAAATTTACACAAGCTAAAAAGGAAATCGTCCTCAGCACAATCGACTTAAGAAGACTATCACACACCTACTTCAACGGAACTTACACAAGTAATGGTGGAAGTACAGCTTGCTATGTCTTCAAGGGTAATAGTATGTTCTATTTAGGAAACCAGGCTGAGTTGGTAGATAACACGCTAGCCTGGTGTATTATAGTTAAACCGGAACACTCAATGCCAACTGGTACAAGTATGGACTTGTCTTTTTGCTGGTCATTGCGGTATTCAGGGTCAGGTGGATAACATGTGTTGTATCATAAAGTATCATGTCAAAGTGGCGCTCATGCTTCTCCTGTTTGGGTAATATCTGTGGCTGTCGTAGGAGGTCTAATAAAAATGGGAAGGTTGGTGATATAAATTTCTCTGTACCCAATGATATTAAGGTTGAAGTGATCACACAGGGTGAAAAGGATGATGTCAACAGTGTATCCGGACTACAAGGGCCCCCTGCCTTATGTACCCCCAAGGAGAGAATAAAAGTTGTCGAAGAGGCTTTGGAATAGGAATATTGAACAATATTGGAAAAGTGTAGGATAATCGTACTAGAGTCTCAGCTGGACTGGTAAGGTGATCCCGAAGCTTTGAGATAAGTTAAATGAAAAACAAGAATAGCAGTTTCACATTCCAATTAAATGGACCATGGAACTGCTGAAGTCTCGGGAACCCACTCGTTGAGGTGTGAGACCATTAATTTTAATATAATAAAAATAAATGATTAATTTTAATATAATAAAAATTAATAATTAATTTTTACTAAAGGTAAAAAACTAGTGGTCTAGAAAAAAACTAGTGGTCTAGAACCGGCAGTTCCTATACTACTCGTGCTAGCTTCTTGTTATTTTCTCTCTCTAGACATCTTAATTTTTGAAGAGAAATTACTTATCTAAAGCTATATTTTAGCAAAAAAATACATTTTCAAACTGAAATATTTCATCTCAAGAAGGCTATGAAAAATTTGTACGCCAGCAATGAATTGGTCAGCGCTAAGGCAAATTCGCTTTTGCGCATGCACTAAAATGTCCATGAATCGTGGAGATTTTCGCAGCCTTTACCAGGATCTTCTCATTTTTCACGCGCCATGTACGAAGAAGACCCTGGGGACGAGGTTGCTACTTTGCGGTCACCGTTTTGGCCCCACTTTTGGAGTCGTTTCAGCCCTTTTTAATTTACAGTGTAGGCTGCAATGCATGGAGATCTGTGTTAGCCACAGTTTAATTGACTTGCGGCAGGAATAGTACTTTTATTTCAAATAAAGATGTAATATGTGTAATTAATAATTTGATGTGTAATTAATTATGTATTAATACAAAATGTTTATATAAGTATTTCGCATCAGGCTATCAGTGAGATATACTTGTTCAAAACAATGTAATCCAGACAAAATTCACATACTATTAGGTGAACATTATCTTAGTATACATAGTCATGTGCAATAGTAATCAGTTATAGGCATCCAGATGCAGTGTTCAGAGGTCTTTCTCGTCGTACTTTGCGCCTCAACTCCTCGTATGTTATACAACCGCTAACACTGAGTATATCTTTATTCCAATATTCTTGTATTGTTGCCTTCACTTCATCAGAAAGACCACTCTGTGCTTCTATTGCTGACTTACCAGTGCCGACAATGCTAAACTGCAAACGCAAAGGTTTGGTACCGGTAAGAGATTCAGAATCTGTACTTGACTTTTCTATACTAAACTTCTGCCAGTTTGATTTCATGACATCAAAAGAGCTGTTCTGCAAGGCTGCTCGTATATTTTTCTCTTCCTTTAGGTCCAGAAAGTCGGCAAGTGCTTGTACTACAGATACTATATCTTCTACCATTTCTTCGTAAAACAACAGGAAAACATTGGGATCGTTTCTATGTTCGTACCAGCTGATTAGATGCCGGAAATATGACTCATCGTAGGGCTGGTCGGGATTTTCTGGGACGCCTAATTGCAGCCACGTTTCTGTCACGAATTCATCGGCCGATATTGAGCCTTTCTCAAAAAGAATACCTTCCTTTAGCCTATAAGAGAGAACCAAATAATTTGCATGCATTTCTATATGTATAGACTCATTGCACATCGGACTTTACAGCGCCGGTGACAATGCATTTGGAGGACAAATTAGCAATCTATGCATACTGTAGCTTCTGTAAACAAAGCAAATTTTGTGAAACTTTATAATAATTTTGTATTAAAATGGTTAATTGTTGCGCTGTATGTGGTTGTTGTACCCGAAAAGAAATTGCTAGCGAGCATCTGGAGGACACTCTAAGGATTTGTGACGTTAGTGCAATGGCTCTATAGTTGAAGGGATGGATAGGATCGATGAATATTAACATCACATTATCAATATTAATATTATGAATATTAGATGATTATTATCTTCATATTATTGATGAATATTATCTTCTGGATGGATATTATCGAGTGGAAATTCAATTTATGTCTTCCCTCTGAACTAGCGAATATTAAAGATTAATGAAAAATAGTACTTTCCAGGCATTTAGACTTGAGTGTTGCATTTCCTGCGCTTTGTTCGCTGGGCAAAGTATTAATATTGCACACACATCAAGACATTTAACACGGATGACGTGGTTGGGTTAATCTCGCGTGGGGTAACGATTCCCTCCAGCCGCTTTATTAATAACTTTCAGAAATTAGGATTCATACAATATATCGGATTTAATTAAACAGTTCTGCCCAGGAAAGGTGAGGGCAAAATTACGCAATTACTTATAAATAGGCAATAAACATTAATTAACAATAATGACAGATGAAGACATAGGGAGGAGGTGGGTTATTAATATATTTCGATATCTTCACACAGTGGTGTTCAATTCGCGGTAGACTGAATGCAACTGATGTGAACTGCATGAAAGTATGGACTATAAACCCTCTTTTTCAGCCATCTGCTTGATCATTCCGCACCCTATGGAGATTCTAGCCATTTCCTTCGTATGTCAATTTTTATTTTTCCACCACCTGCTTATCAATTATAATAACCAACCTATGTACCCCAATATGTATATATATCTATATATACATATTGTACCCCAATATGTATATATATATAATATGTATATACCTCAATATATATATAAATATATATATATATATATATATATATATATATATATATATATATATATATATATATATATATATATATATATATATATAATATAATGTGGATACTAGATATGTAATTCTTTTACACAATCTACATGTAAATTATGTAATAATAATAAATCATATTGCATAATTTAGTGCCTACTAAATTATGTAATATACATAGACAAGTATAGTTCATAAACAAATACACGACTTATATTAAGAGGGGAGGGGGGGGGGGGTCGCCATTAAAATTGTAGTCGCATATTCAAACTGAATAAGAGCGGCCTTAGATCTACATGCCGCTCGAGACTGGTGATCTATCTTATTTTGTGAGAAAAATTAACTTACCAACTTATAATGAGAATTTCACAAATACCATCCAGTAATTGTGCGCATGTTTATAAATTTGTGTAGCAATGTACGAGACATATTTTTCTTAGAAATTTATAAATTATGTAAAATTTCTTTCTAACTAACTCAAACTAAATTAACGAGAATCTAATCGATATCATTGACTTCCGGTAATACCTCCACAAATCCTCCCCCCCCCCCCTCCAATCATCACTCTTTACTTACTGTAATTATCTCATAGCGCTTTTATATCACATATACAAGCTCTTTTGCGGTTATGATATCGGTTTCTATATCTTATATTTGTAAATCCCCATCCAAACTAAAAGAGAAATTAAACGACATCCTTCGCCCGCGACTATTGGCTTTATAGATTTCTCTCTTTCCCCATTACAAATTAAATACAAACGCACACCACCAAGTGAAAACATCACCTTGACCTAGGTAATTATCTCATATTGACATTGCGCTTACCGACTAACGGTTAAAAATACCTTTTTTTAAATATTATAACCTGGCAATGTTTACAAAAAAACATTTGTTGTTCTTTTAAGGTTCAGTGACATGTTATGGTGATAAAGTGAAGAATGCCAACTGTCCTAAAGATCAATACATGGTGGTCAAGTTTGCATCTTACCGTGGATTGTTTGCACCGAAGACATGTGGTTTAAGTGATGATTATAGTTGTGAAGTTGATGTAATATGTCTGCTTAAGAAACATTGTGATGGTCTACACGAGTGCAATATAACTGTGGATGACAATTTGATCTCTGACGATCTATGTCCTGGATTGTCAAACTATCTTTACTTTGAATATCAATGTGTTGATACTGTGAAACCTTACAAAGAACCTTGTGGTACGCATGAGAATTAGTATAATGGTTCTATTGATGGTAACAACTTGTAGTTTTAGTCAATTTCTCTTAAGGAATTTGCACAAGACAAGTTCCCATAGTGTTTAAAAATGTTTCGCCTCGATTTGGCACACGTGTCATGTCAGAGCCTTATTCAAGAATTTGTTCCGTGGCGGGGGGGGGAGCGTCTACACAAAGGGACACTATACTGAGTGTGGAGAGATGACAGATGGTTGTTGGTGGCAAACAATTTGGTGTGGTGTCATATGTAATAGTGGGGGTCTTCCCCCAAGAAAATGTTTGTATTTTTCCACCCCTATGAGTCTATGACGCATCTCGTGTGTTTTCTGAAACAGATTTTTGGATATACAGCGTTAATTATACTGTACATAGACTGAATCTTCACGAGGACTTGCATGGTCCCCGAGCCGACGGCGCGAAGCGCTCTGCGAGGGTACTAATTCCCGCCCCCCCCCGCTATTTACACCCGGGGAAACGAAAGCATTAGCGGAGTCTAAAGTTCATCAAGTATCGCGGGCGTTGGTGACCAACGGAGTTGAGTGGGTGGTCATCCTCACTGATCTCAAAAATATGGCGGACTGTCATGAATAGCGGACACTGATTGGTCCAATTTAAAGTTTGCATCATAACGACTGTATGACGACAGCGAAATAGCAAAC